TTGCATTCGAATGTGGATTTTTATTTTAAATTCGACGAATATTCGAAATTCAAATTTTTTTTTGACAACCCTAGTACCGATCACCGATACCGATCTTTTTAAAGCCTTCTTTTTATCATTTATAACTATTTATAGTGATACTCCAATCAGGATTTTTAGACATTTATTCAGGGCCTGAATTTCATTTTTGAAAGGTGACTTAGGTGACTCTTGTGAGAGGGGAAGCAGCACGGACTGTACTTTCACACAGGAGTCCACTACTGATCCGTGGCTGTTTACCACAAACACAACATTTATCCATAATTTCAAATCCAAACATTGTCACTGAAAATGCTTTTTCAACATTGCAATTCTTTTTTTATTAATAATATGCATTTATGGTGTAATTACTACATTTTCGTGTCAATCCATGTTCATATTTACTGCAAAAAAATGTGCTGTTACTTAAATTCAGTGCTTGCAGCTCAGCAAAAATAGACTCGGTGCGGAAACTATCTCTGCACTGCAGCAGACGCACCGCTCGTGGAACGCACTGCACCATGTTCATATTTACTGCAAAAAATGCTTTAAAGCAAACATAGACTCGGTGCGGAAACGATCTCTGCACTGCTGCAAACGCACCACTCGTGGAACGCACTGCTGGACTGCTACCATGTGCGTGCTTTATTAATCTGTTAACATGAGCGCGGAAAAAATACACCCCACATACGCACTGCAAACGGAGTAATGTGAACCTGGCATTATGTGTGTGCGCTGCAAGTGTGCATGAGCACACTGTCTCCAGGAGAGCGCGCAAGCGCTGAATGGTTAAACACTGGTAAGAATTTAAAAGTAATGCAATTTATAAACTTTAGTGACGATGTGACACTGCAAGTGACAATTCCTGTGTCAACTGTGCAGCGCGTAGCTCACTTATAGACAGACGCGATGTGGTGATTTGAAGACATTTGCGTATTTTGAGAGAGCGAGCGCGGTGATTCACTCTCGCTGTTTGTGAAATTGTCTCACACAAGGTTTTCAAATTACTAACACAATAAATGCGGTCATTGCTTTTAGAGGTGGATGCCTGCTGTTTGGGAACGCAGTCATGTAAGACAGTAATTACACAGACAACCCTCTACAATGCAAGTAAATTGCTCGCATATGCGAGTAAATTTCCCACTAGGCGACTAAAAAATTTCTTTAATTAGCCAATGGCTAGTAAATTTTCCGATTTTACTCGCCGGTGATTGAGTTAGATGCAAAGAATAAATTAAGCGCAGATATCATTTCAATGCCTGGTCAGTCCGCATTAAATACCGTCACATAGCTGACAGCGCCCTCTGTCGCTTTCTATCACACGCACACTCGTGAGAGAAAGAGATGCTGCATAAAGAGAATTGACGCATTAGATTTAAATGGTGTTCTTTCTTTACTGTACTGTGGATGCAAATGGATGCAAAAAAGCGAAAATTCCAGTCTGAGCAGAAAACGCTTGATAATTTTTTGTTTTCAAGCGCAAAAAAAATTAAAGAGTCCAGTTCTGTGCAGACAGAAGACGGTGAATGCGCCAGCGAACCCCAGCCAAGCACGTCAAATGTGGCAGAAAAGATTGTGCATTCTGAATCAAAAAGTGCATTGGAAAAGCGAAAGTTCCAGACCCAGTGGCTGTCAGATTTTGATTGGCTTCTGTATGAGGAGGAGGAACATGTGATGATATGCAAGTACTGCAGTAGAAAACCTAGCTTAGCCGGTAAAACAGACTTTGTATCAGGATCGCGCAGCTTCAAACGTGAAAATCTCACCGCGCACTCAAACCGCAAACGACATGCATCTTGTCGTGATAGTGTGATGGCTTCAAGCAAAGACCCTGAGGAATCTGCGATCGCAAAAGGGTTTCACACTCAAAATTAAAAAAATGACAGCGCAGAGAAACATAAAATGAATACAGCATATTATATCGCAAAGGAGGAATTGAGTTTCACTCAGATGAAGCCACTAATTATGCTGCAGAAAAAAAATGGCCTGGATATTTCTCCAACGTATGATAATGATAACCGCTGCGCTGAACTCATTTCAAATATTGCCGCAGATTTACAGGATATAGAGAAAAATAAAGTGAAAAAGTCCAAGTACATATCAGTCATGATTGATGGTGCAACAGATTCTTCTGTGAACGAAAATTAAGCTATCTATGTCAGGTATTTACATGATGGGTTGCCAGTAAATCATCTTGTCTCTGTCACAGAGCTGTCACATGCTCATGCGGATGGTTTGACTGACTGCATTCAATCCTCAATGTCAAAATTTGGATTAGATGACTGGAAGCAAAAGCTTGTTGGATTTTGTGCTGATGGTGCAAATGTGAGCATGGGCCAAACAGCTGGTGTTGTTGCAAAACTGAGAGTGGACAATCCAAAACTCATAGACATTCACTGTATGGCTCACAGGCTGGAGCTGGCACTTCTTGGGGTTTTGAAAGATGTGAGCTTAGTGAGTCGTGTAAATGGCACCTTGCACTTGATTTGGAAAACCTACCATTTCAACCCAAAGAGCAACAGAGAACTTCAGACAGTTTGTGAAGAACTTGAATATAGGTTCTACAAACCAAAGCCAGTAAAAGGAACACGTTGGGTGCCTCATTTAGACAGGGCACTGAAGGTCTTCCTGAGAAGAAAAGACGATCTTGTTAGCCAAGCTGGGCAGTATGCAGCTGTTGCCATTCATATGGAGAATTTGGCCCAAACCAGTCACAATGCTGACATTGCTGGTAGAGGGAAAAAGGTTTTCAATACCATGAGGGATCTGCAGTTTGTTGCATTTTGTCATTTCCTGGCTGATGTGCTGCACGAGATAGCGATATTAAGTCAGACTCTACAGAAGGCAGACCTCATCCTACAAAGTGCTGTTGCTGCAGTTGAGAGCTGTTTGACCAGTCTTGACTACATGAAAACCAACCCTCTCCCAGATGGTATGCTGGAAACTTTCATCACACAGTGTCTGGAAAAGCAAACTCCTGGTGCTCATATCACAACTTTTCAGGGCATTGACTTAAGAGGGGAAAGAGAGAGCCTGATGGACAATCTGAGAAAACAGACGGAGCATGCATGTTCAGCCTGTGAGAAACACCTTCATGCTAAATTGTTACATTGCTGGTAGGTTATCATTGCACAAATTAACACACTCTCTACAATTAAAAAAAAAAAAAATTAGAAGAGTTCTAAACTAACGTGCAGTCTTCACTGTATCTAACGCGCACAAGGCTGTTTTACTCGACGCGTCCGCAAGTTCGCTTAGGTGCGCGTGGCATCCATCCCAGGTAAATATTGGCAAATTCGGAGGTGGTCTAGATTTATAGTGGTTTACAATAGAAGCGTGTGGTGTTATAAACGCTTGCTTGACAGGTTGGATTTTTGTCTAGTGAACTGCCTTTTTTTAACACACCATCTCCCTTTTTATTAACTAGGGAAGCCGTGACAACATGAGTGTTGTTCTAGTATGTTTCCCCAATGCACCGAAGGTATCAGAGGAGGCTGTTAAGAGAGAGGCCGAGTTGGACAAGTTCCTGGAGGCTCGTGTGGAAGGTAAGAGGCAACACTTGTTCATTTGTCAGCCAGTTTTCTTCATTGTACATCCAGTGTGGTGGAAATTGCCATCTTGTAATTCAAAAAGTCCTAATACCAGACCTCAAGTGTCAGTCATGGGGTTTAAAATTGCTCTGTGTGAGCACTGTTTGGATTGCAGTTCTCTTCTTTTCCCTCTGGTTCTTCTCTTTCAACATTCTGGCATGTTCTAAACTATCTGGAGGCTCGTAGGGTCTTTCCTGGATGGTTAAAATATATTAATTCTGAAAACAATTCTAGTGTTTTTTCCATTTGACATGTAGTTAGGACAGCTGTGATGAAACCTGTTTGGCGTTCTTTCTCTGGCTGGATATTATTTTTCTCACACTGTCTCTATAAGTGGGATGGTAGATCCGGTGCCTTCACCGTTCTAAGGTTTCAGAGCAGCAGTCACAGTGGAGGAAACACTCCAGGCTTCCATTAGCAGTTTGTTGCCCTACATGTGTAATATAGTTGTCTCTCTCTGCAGAAATCCTGGAGAAGTCAGGGGAGGAAGGCATCCCAGATCTAAGCCATGTCATGCACAACCTTCGCCCTGAGAGCATCCCCAACCTGCCACCGGGTGGTGGACTCGCTAGCAAGTAGGGGTCCAAAATTAAGTTACATTTGTCCTTGTGGTCATATTACATCTATGCTGATCAAGCAAATTTTGCAATTGCCCTACTATTGTATTAGGACTGGTAAACGGCAGACACATTGCGGTGTAATATTATATTGATATCTGGGTCATGATAAAAAAAAGTGATTCTTTTAGTGTTGAATTATTTAAAACTGTAATTTGTTGCTAAATTGTTCTTTGAATAGAAATAATATTGTGCATTTGTCTTCAGAGGTATGTAATATTTTTTTTCTTTATCAATATCTGTTATCATAGATTGATTAATAGTAGTTATTTAGTAGTGCCTATTTTTTTATTCAGTTTAGCACTTCAGTCTTTAATGTAATACGGACCAAATTTCAAAATATTTTTCTTATTGTACACAGTTAGGCGTGTTGTATTTTACACATTGTAATGTTGTGATGCCTAAATTCATAGCACTCCATTTTATTTCTCATTAATTTAGACGCAATTGTATAGAGTTTTAATTTCAACCATCTCAAATATTGGCCATAACATAAAAATAATTACTGGCTTATTGGTATAATCCAGAATTTTATTTTATTTAGGTGAAAGTTGTATCTTTTTTTTCTAATGTTGTTATAATTCTATAAAATAATACTATGTTATATAAATATTGTGAAAATTAACAAAAAATATTGATTCGTGGTTTGAGAATATACCATACAGGTGAAAAAGTGAAAAAAATTATATATAATTAGATTCAAGAGGTAAATTATAGCTGTACTTTTATTACTCCTACTATATAATACTCCTATATAATGTGTAGATAGAATTATATATTAAAGTATCCATATATTTATGTGAAAATAAACAAAAATATTGATTCTTGCAAGAATACAGCTGAAAATATCAATAAATTGGAATCTAGAGCTAATAATATTGCAATGCTTAATTTTTTTTTTACTATCCCCCTATATAATGTGCAAAAAAGTGATTTATTCTCAATTTTGAACATCTGGTTTTGCTATGGACCATATAAACGTTTCTCACTATTATCTTCAGTAGGGTTTTTAGAGTTCTGTCTAATCTGTCTCTCTTCTCTCATCCAGACGTAGTGTAATTGAGGCTGTTTACAACAGGCTAAACCCACACAGAGAAGAAGATGGGGTGAGTTTTTCCTTGCTGTTTTGATCTCATAAGAACAGAACAAAAGGTCACTTGAGTCTTCTTGCTTAGACTTAAGTCCATCCATTTACTCATCATCTTACAGTACTTTTAATGTATAACACCTGCAGATATTTTGACTTAATATAGGTCTAGGTGACGCATTCATGCATACATTTACTCCCTCGATCATTTGAGAGTGATACATTTAGCAAGTGATTAGCAAATGTCCTACTTAGGGAAGCATAACTGGTACTCAGAGATGGATTTATATATAGGGCAGATTAAACATCCAAACACCACTATCTTTAAAAGCAGTGCCTCTGCATTTAAGATTTAAATGCAAGGCTTTTTGTGCAGGCCTTGGCTTTGTTTGTCCGTCTGTGCTTGTGCCACTCTGTGACGGTTTGTATTTGTATGTCCGCATCTTGGTAATGCTTCAGCGAGTTTATTGCTCTAAGACTTGTGAGAAGAGACGTGTGTTGACAAGCACCTGCATCTTTTGTACCCTTGCGCGCACACAGACGAACACACATTCGCCACATTTTATCGCTCCTCAAGCGTGCTGCTTTCTAAATGAAAAGGCCGTGTAAGGTCAAGGGCAGGTGGCCTGCTCTTAGCGGGGTCTCTTAACCTGCTCTGTCCACTGACACTGGCGTCTACTTGAGTCTTCTTGCTTAGACTTAAGTCCATCCATTTACTCATCATCTTACAGTACTTTTAATGTATAACACCTGCAGATATTTTGACTTAATATAGGTCTAGGTGACGCATTCATGCATACATTTACTCCCTCGATCATTTGAGAGTGATACATTTAGCAAGTGATTAGCAAATGTCCTACTTAGGGAAGCATAACTGGTACTCAGAGATGGATTTATATATAGGGCAGATTAAACATCCAAACACCACTATCTTTAAAAGCAGTGCCTCTGCATTTAAGATTTAAATGCAAGGCTTTTTGTGCAGGCCTTGGCTTTGTTTGTCCGTCTGTGCTTGTGCCACTCTGTGACGGTTTGTATTTGTATGTCCGCATCTTGGTAATGCTTCAGCGAGTTTATTGCTCTAAGACTTGTGAGAAGAGACGTGTGTTGACAAGCACCTGCATCTTTTGTACCCTTGCGCGCACACAGACGAACACACATTCGCCACATTTTATCGCTCCTCAAGCGTGCTGCTTTCTAAATGAAAAGGCCGTGTAAGGTCAAGGGCAGGTGGCCTGCTCTTAGCGGGGTCTCTTAACCTGCTCTGTCCACTGACACTGGCGTCTTGCACCAGGACAGCCAGGGAGGAGCAGCCGGCGGTGAGGAGGAAGAAGAGGGCAGCTCCGCAGCCGCCGCCCACCTGCTGGAGGCGCTACGACAGTTCCGGCTTAGTCACCGAGGCGAATACCGCCAAGTGCTGGAGCAGGCGCTCTCCACTTACCGGCTGTCCTGCGGGACAGGCGCCACGACACGGACCGACCCCAAGGAGGAACCTCCCTCGCCCCCTCCGTCCCCGGCCACTGAACCCCTCAGCTCTGAGGAGGGACAGGACGAAGCCGCTACGTCACAGTCTCTGGACGAGCTCTCTGGCGCCCCCACTGCATGACCCTATTTAGTACCCACTAAACCCAGCCCTGCTATCAAACCCTTTTCCCCAGACCTGCTCTCTGGCCCAGATTGCTAGGTCGCTTTTGGCAATCTTCCTCCTTAGAGCACTTCCAGTGCAGGTTTTTGGTTGTCTTTATGGATTTGTAATAACACTTTGGGTGGATGTTTTGTGTGAGCCCTGTAAACAGTAAAAGTCGCATACAGAGGAAGTTTTGCGCAGAATTCTTATCACTAAAAACCTGCTCTGCAACTGCAAGTGAGGTTAACCTTGGCATATTCCAGCTCTGTCTGCAGTAAGCACTTTCTCATATCTCTGCACTTAGCCTAGTGTTTTTAAAATGAGACATGGGGGTGTAATCTAATGAAGTGTTGAAGAGGGAGTTCACCTAGACATTGTCATCTACTCACCCTCATGTCATTCTAGACTTAAATGGCTTTATTCTATGAAACACAAACATATTTTGGAAGATGTATGCGTCTTTTGTTTTGTGTTTTTGTCTTTTTTGTTTGTGTTTTTAGGTTTTGTTTAGTTTGGTTTAGTTTTTTGTTGTTGTTTGTTTTTCTTTTTTTTAGCTTTTGTTGTGTTTTTAGCTTTTGTTTAGTTTGATTTAGTTTTTGTGTGTGTGTGTGTGTGTGTGTGTGTGTGTGTGTATGCGTCTTTTGTTTTGTGTTTTTGTCTTTTTTGTTTGTGTTTTTAGGTTTTGTTTAGTTTGGTTTAGTTTTTTGTTGTTGTTTGTTTTTCTTTTTTTTAGCTTTTGTTGTGTTTTTAGCTTTTGGTTTTGTTGTGTTTGTTTTTGTGTGTGTGTGTGTGTGTGTGTGTGTGTGTGTGTGTTTTTGTCTTGTTTTTTTATTTGTATTTATTTTTTTGCTTTTAGGTTTAGTATAGTTTTGTTTTTTGTTTGTTTTTTTTGTTCATACAAAGTCTTTGTGCAATCAAAGACTTCAATTGCATAGGTGAAAAACATTGTTCAAAATATCTTTTTTGTGTTCTGCAAAAGTAAGTCATACAGGTTTGGAATGACATGAAGGTAAATAATTCATTTTTGGTGAACTGTCCCTTTAAGTAGATTTGAATACTGTTACCCCTGAATGATTTTATCACCATTTCACACCCAAAGAGTTTACCCATGTAAGTAGTCAAACATTTGAAATAGCAATGGTTTAAGTGGACAATCTGGGCCGTGCCAAGAGTACACACAACTGTTTGCTCTCGTGCCATGCGATGCATGTGTACTCCGTATCCTGGGTTGCCTCGTGGCTGATCATAGTTATAGGATATTAACGTACTGTAGTAAACATCAGGTACAGCTTCTATTATGCTCTTTATGTAGTGTGCTTCTCTGTGTATGTGTGTGCGTGTATGTGAATCAAATGTTTGAAATGCGAGATGATTAACTGATCAAAAGCAATTTTCACCATTTAAAAGGGAACTCTAATGTTGTGTGTGTGTATCTTCCTCTCTCTCCATATCTCTTTCATATCGGTTTATAATTTGAGCTGACCTCCCGAATATGATTGTCCTGTGTCTGCTCTTTTAGTGTTCACATTTAACTCTACTATATGCAGGTGTGTCCTTGAGGAAGAAGCACAAACTGGAAATGCACTGGCTTTATAAGCATGGACCGTATGAGATTACAGAAGCTTACACAATCATTTGTTCTTGCAAAATTCTCCTTTTGCCTGTTGTGCTGATGCAATCAGTCAATGACTTTACATTTGCAATGTAAAAGTCATTCATTGAAAGGGGACAATACAGACTGTTTTACCTTTAGATGGACTTAATGCAATCTACACATTAGGCAACGCTGCTACATGATCATTCATGAATGTCTGTACACTGCAGTATTTGCACAGGGCTTCTTATCTTATTCTTATGACCCGAGTTTTTGGACAGCAAGCTGAATTCGGTCCATGTGAATTGTCATATCGCAAAATATCTGATGTTCCAAACTGCTTTTGTTTTGTGTTTTCTTTGACTGATTTATCAAGCCATTTAAAGCTGATTACTTTGTTGATTTGGAAGTTAATGCATAACACAAACTGTATAATCCTCTTAAAAGTTAGTGTAAGTGCATGCATAATACTGCCATTGTTATGTTAAACTAATGTTACTAATATATAGGCTCAGCAGAATCAGAGAGCTTAATTGTTCATAGAGCAGTATTTGCTGCCTTGGGTTTTGATTTTTTGTTCTTTTTTTCCTGGGCAAAGGTTTGTATTCATTTTGTTTCACGCAGAAGTTCAAAATAAATCAAATTCAACTATTGATATCTGTCTTTGCTCCCATTCATTATTAAATTTGAGATGACGCACCACACAGAATACTGATGAACTTGTTCACTCTTAACTATCCTTCATAATCAGATATGGCTTATGTTCTTGCTCATGAGCCTTGTTAGTGGAAGTTTAAGGCTTGAGGTAAGTGAGCTTCAAATGTGCCTTAATCGTTTAAAAGCAGGCGAAAATTAGTTTTCTTGTCAGATGGAAATGCAATTTAAATCCGTAAAAAAGAATGTTGGCCAGGCCCCCCCCTTTTTTTTTTTTTTAGTATTTTTTCATGATTACGTATATTATGTTTATTGACAGTTGTTGTTTTGTTCTTAAAAGTTAGTGTAAGTGCATGCATAATACTGCCATTGTTATGTTAAACTAATGTTACTAATATATAGGCTCAGCAGAATCAGAGAGCTTAATTGTTCATAGAGCAGTATTTGCTGCCTTGGGTTTTGATTTTTTGTTCTTTTTTTCCTGGGCAAAGGTTTGTATTCATTTTGTTTCACGCAGAAGTTCAAAATAAATCAAATTCAACTATTGATATCTGTCTTTGCTCCCATTCATTATTAAATTTGAGATGACGCACCACACAGAATACTGATGAACTTGTTCACTCTTAACTATCCTTCATAATCAGATATGGCTTATGTTCTTGCTCATGAGCCTTGTTAGTGGAAGTTTAAGGCTTGAGGTAAGTGAGCTTCAAATGTGCCTTAATCGTTTAAAAGCAGGCGAAAATTAGTTTTCTTGTCAGATGGAAATGCAATTTAAATCCGTAAAAAAGAATGTTGGCCAGGCCCCCCCCTTTTTTTTTTTTTTAGTATTTTTTCATGATTACGTATATTATGTTTATTGACAGTTGTTGTTTTGTTTTGTTTTTTGGGTACACACAGATTAATGTATCCTCTCCTATTTTGGTTTTATGCTGTTTTAATGTTATTGGGTAGTTTTTGGCCCACTGTCTACATTTGAGTCACCTGTAGGTTCGGTTTAAAAGTTTGGGGTCTGTATTTGATTATTTTGAAAAACATTGTTGAGAATGAGAAGTCTCTTATGTTCATTTGTTTGATAAAAAATGCAGTAATATTGTGAAATATTGCATCCTTGCTTAATAAAAGTATTATATTTTTCTAAATAAATAATCATAATCTTACTGACCCCAAACTTAATTTTTTAAAACCAAGTCCATGCTTCATTTTCTGTTACATGGAATTGGAAAATTAGGAAATCTTCCTTTCTCTCCTTTTCTTGTCTTTCACACCCTCACACGTTTCATTGTTTTTTTTTTTTTACGTCCCCAGTTTTCTCTAGTGAGTGTTTTACCCTTTTTAATTTTCTCGGTTTGCTCATTTCTTTCCCTTTCTTGTTTTCTCCCTGTCGCAGAGCGGAGGTGACCTGGACGACCCCTGGTAGCCCGAGCAGCCAACGACTTCTGAACCACATGAGAATGTCCTCAGTTCACACAAGAAAACCCTTGCTCACACACTTTTTTGGTTTCAATTCGGAGAGCGTCATAGGAAATGTTAAAGGACGAGTCTGGGAATACATACGCTTGTTTTTTAAAGATGAGAAAACTACAGAAATGTTTTTTTTTTTTTTAGAACTGCATTGTATGGTAGAGAGATTTATCTTTACTCCCCCAGCCCCTTCCTCCTGAAATCTGTGTCCATTACACAGAAGTTGCTGGATGCTAATTTGGAGGCATGAACTCTGAACTCAGCTGGAGGAGGGCAGGGCCAGCGAGCTCTGAGAGGGACAGGGACCCTCGTTCAGACGCGGCTCTCTTTGAACCCCTTCACACCATGTGCAGCTTTTTGGAGGCATGATCTCAGTTCTTGTTCACCGTTTCTGCCACCCTCTTCTTTAACCCTGCGACTCTTAACAGGCTCTATCCCATCAGCTGGACAGCAGCCACAGAAATGTAATGTATCTGTTGTGGATTTTTCTTGTTCTCTTTTGGGGCAGGGGCAACTTTCTTCTAGTGTCATTCATTTTGGTGCTTGCTGTTAAACAAGAAAATTAAAAAAGAAAAAAAAAATCCTAGGACACTCTTGAGACTCAATCTTGACAGCAGGAGATTATTGCAAACCCGCTATGAATTTGGAGGAGCTTGTCACGGTGACTTCCTCACAGTCGCCTCAAGAGACAGTACATAAAAACTGAACTCCTTCTCTTTTTCACAGCACTCTTCGTTCCCTGCTCTCCCCATCAGCTTGCCTTCTGGTTTGTGGTTTTCGCTATCATTTTGACACTGCGTTTTTAACTTTTTTTTTTATTACAGATTATATGGCGTAATTGGTATTGTTTGATTGCACTCACATTTGATTACAAAAATAAAAAAAAATACTAAAAAATATATGAAAGAGAAGCTATGAGAAGGTAGAGTATTTCTAAAGTGAAATTGCAGAAATATGTATGTGTATATAGCTATATATATTTTTTTCTCCTTTAACAGCGGAGTGAAAGAGTGGGAGGGGACGCTCTCTCCTCAGACTGGCTGATAGGTACTTGAATATTCATTGAGTGGGTCTGTTTTTTTTTGTTTTTGTTTTTTTTGGTAATCCTTAATGTAGGATTGTTTTTGAACCGTGCCTGTAAAAGGTGAACCATGCTGTAAGGGGGTGTACTTACAGGACAGTTAGCTATGAATGAATGTACCCCTTATTCACACTGATACACAATACATATACCATCACACACCCATTTGTACATGCTCATGCGTAACACTTTCATATGTGCATTTATTGTTTGATTAGCTTCATCGTATACATTCACGTTCCTACTCCATGTACTTCACATGTGAGTTTTTTTTCTGCGCTGTGCGATAATCGGACACAGACATGCTCTGGAGGCCTTCTTTACTTCCTCCTTTTTTTTTGTTTTGCTTGTTTATTCATCGACTTCACCTGCTCTGGTGTGTAGCTTTAAAATGAGCGTTTAATTGAATTTTATTAGATGATTGTTTATGTATGTGTATATATTTTTGCAGTTTTTCTCTCTTCTGGTACACATAACTTGTAGCCATATGCTGGAAAGATTCATTTTAGGACGAATAGATTGAGTCAGTTTCCAGTCGAGATGGTAAAGAGATATATTTTGTGCGGTGGGTGCTCAAGGACATTAATTTGCGTTGTGTATATTAACAATTATTGATGCGTATAATAATTGAGACAAAGCATTTTATTTATTCCAAGCGTATTGGCTTAAGAAAAGAGGGTTTCGCCGGAGGGGGAAACTACTGTCCCGTGTGTTTTGGAGAGAGTGATCGAATTCTCTTGCTCTCATGTCCTTCCTCTCTTTCTCTCTGATTCTCTCGAACCACCTGACGAGCCCGTGTAATGAACGTCCCCAGTATGATGTTGTGATGTTTCAGTAGCAAACAGTGAATATGATCTGTTCTCCTTAATAAAGGATTGCTAAAGTTTGATGTTAACACAATGACTTGCTTGTGTTTGAAATGTTATCTCACAATGTTCCAGGAGGGGAATGAAGGATTCACATCTTGAATCATTCTGAAATTACTGTTTGTTTTGTTTTGAGGAGACTTCTTGTCCACGTTATGTTTTAACGCATAAGCTAGTTTCTGTGAAAGTGTGAGACTTCCAATTCATTTGCAGCTGTAGAATACAACAGTGCCCTTCCGTTTTCAGAAGTACTTTTCCCATTCATTTTTGTCGCGGTATACTTGTCACGATTCTTTGATTGGAGGCAATTTCTTTGCAGAATCATGGGTAATGTAGTCTTTTCACCAGGATTTCCACTGCCAAACACCAAGTTAAAATAAAGCCAGTTGATGGCTTCACCAAAGCATATACCTTCAGGTAACCTCTATACAGTGTCTGTCCACTTTGTCAAAGGCCTTCAGAGTATTTTTCCAATGGGGAAAAACCATGAAATCAGTCAAGCCAACCAGCTGAGATGAATCACACTACAAACTTTAATTTGAAGCAAAAGTATTTGAAAATTGGACAGAAAGACACGCGTATGCACATATATATATATATATATATATATATACACACACACACACTCAAACATTTAAGTAGTTCAAGAACAGGATCGTAGGTTAATTTTTTTTACTTTGAATTCTGCCGTTGAAAAGTAATTTAAAAATGTTAAAGCAGCACTATGTAACTTTTTCTGTTCAAATTTTGTAAAATGTATATAATGAGCGAGTACATAATGAATTCATCTTCCAAACCGCGTTTTTGTCTTATTCCGAATCACTACGGTACACTTATAATAAGTACTTATATTTGGACTATTGCAGTCTGGTCGGGTCGTCACCGCTGCGGAGTAACACATACCTGCGTGAATCGCCATCGACAAACTTAGAGAAGTAGCTCCGGTTGGAATGTTCTTCCGCGGGATGTGTGCAGTTCTGTTTATTAACCGCTAGAGCGGCAAAAGTTACATAGTGCTGCTTTAAAATCATGCAGGCTTGGTGGCTTTAACTAAAGTAGATACAATTGATCAACCTCATAACTCACAGTAGGCCTGTCTTCAAAAGTTTACAAGTTAATAAATGTAAATCAATTACCCTTTAGGGAAAATTAATGTTTTTTTTTTACTTCCAGAACCCAACTGCTGCCCTCTAAAGTTGCTCTTTAAAAACTCTTCGCACTATAAACCAGTGCGTTTATGATTACGGTAAAATAATACCTCAAATTTCGATTTGCAGTATAAAGCAGACTGTTTTTGTACTGCTAGAATAACTGGAAGCGGATGAGACTGGAACAATCAAGTTAAAAATAAGGTGGATTGAACAACAATTTAAGGTGTTCAATGCTGTTTTAGAGGTGTGAGTGGTTATGTCAGTGGATTGGCACAAGAGGGCGTGATAACTAAGTTACACGAGTCAAACTTTCAATTAGAGTAGATGTGAGTGCTGAATAAGAAAGCATGCTGTGATCCACCGAGGACACTTTTTTTTTAAGCAGTATTTTGTTTTCTTAGAAGTCTTGAGTCTTTGCATTCCCCGAAGTCATTAAAATTGGGTTGAGTTTATTATAGAACAAGAAACTGGTTTAGCTTTAGAGGCAGCAGTGTATTTCCTCTTAGTGAAAAACGGTTGTCTTTTTGAAACTGAAAAGATCCGGTTTCATTATGAGGATGTATGTCACTTTACTCTGGTAGTCTGTGTGAATGAAGTGAGAAGAGATGAGGAACAGTATACACCTCAGCTGACTGCAGGGTGTCGAGGGGTCATCACCTCTCACCCCTTCTGCTAATCATCAGCAGAGACATCCTGAACTGGCTTCTTTTTTTACATCTGTACCTCATTACAATGTCTAAATCCCCTTAATGATAATAGACCCACCCCCATCTAAAAAGTGTCCCTGCACAGTTACACAGTACTGTTTCCCTGGATCAGGATGCCAAACATGTGGATTAAGGAAATCCACACTCTTCAGGCTGAAGCATAGGGAACTTGACTGGATTGTGCACAACCTCTCAGGTTTGTGGATTGGGAGATTAAGGAAGGTGGTTAAATGGTCTGAAAAGGGTTATGGGGAAGCTAGTTTAGTCGACGCACCTGTTGATTGAGGCTGTATGTAGAAATAACAATGTTGTAAAATGCCTGGTGTGGAGCAAAGCAGGAAGTATCAGAGACATAGATTTAAAGGGATAGTTCACTCCTAATTGAACATTTTGTTATTTGCGTACCTTAAAGTCTTGTAACCGTTTTGACTCTGCGAGGGGAAAAAGAGGTATTTTGTCTGTTTTGTTTTGTTTTGTTTCCTAATTTTTTCCCCCTCTGTACAATGAAAGTCAATTGGGACCAGTGTTTTTTTGGACCCCATTAACTTTCACTGTGTGGACAAAATGTATTTATTAGTGCTGTCAAATGATTAATCGCGATTAATCGCATCCAAAATAAAAGTTTTTGTTTACATAA